GACTATAAACTTTGAAAAAGGGAATAAAATTCTTCTGTTCAACATTACTCGGGATAGGGTGTTTGACACAAGAAGGAGGAGAGCCTGGCGTTAGCAGGGCGATCCGACTGGTCATTAATATTTACGGATAACTGATCTCAATTTTTTTGTAATTTAGAGAACTATCCATTCCAATCGCTTCTTTGCACAGTGGTCGCGGCAAGTCTTCAATAGTAAAGTCTTAGTTTTGAACTGCCATCACCGTAATCACCCCTTGATATCATCCATTGAACATTCGAATCTGACATATATTTTACGCGCTCCACTGAATTTCCGCTAGACGAGGCGCGGTGAGCGTGAGGTGGCGTCGTGGCGACTGAGTCTGCAGAACAAATCAGTTTTGATAGTGTTCTACTCCCTTTCCCTTCAGTGGTTGTGCTTGCGCTAATACTCAAAGGGATGAAATACTCACCGAAGAAAGGTCAGATATGTTTATTGAAGCCAATAAGAAGGTGGAGCACAGAATCGAATGAGACGGCCGTCTCCGGGCTATCCCAAAGCTACAACTGACCCTACCGACCGGGTCCATCCTATCATATATACATGCCAACTGGAGAGCTAACCGGTTATCACTTAGATAACAGGTGAGCCTTCTATCAACGCCCCTAACCCGACGTTCGATGGTTCCTATGAGGGGTGGGAGGCATAACAACGACGACCCAATGTGTTCAAAATATCTCCTAGCGTTCTGGAATTAACATACCTTTCTAGGAACGGCGACCTTTTCTGGAACAGCCATAGGTGCCCCTATCCCATTGGACCACTGAAGTTCCTGTACCACCGAACTTTATCGACTTCCCCTAACTACTTGTAACATTCAAAACTGTTCTGAAATTCCATGTGACTGTACTGAAAAGTGTAATGTTACACAAATTGACATTTGGGTCTGACGGCTGAGCTCATACGTCAAGCGTTGAGTCCTTTCTTTGGCTAGACTTTGATTGAAGAAATAATTTTCATCTGGACGCGAAGCATTCGAAAATAATCCTGAGGCCTTCCTGCTTTCCTGATTCGAACAGTAATTCTCGCGCTATCATAGAAGCTATCGCTTATCTGATCCAAAGTTTGGTTTTAATTTCCAGCTCACTCTTTTGTTAACTGATGCTATTTCGATCCCGAAGTCTCATAATGCTGGCGAGTCACGAGCAAAAATTCGGCCACTGACGGGATTCGAACCCGTATTTGTGCTCTCCGGCTTCCGTGCTCTTTATCTCTTACACCATTACCAATCGGAACAGACATCTAACGTCAAAATCTCCTCCTCTTCTCCTGCCACCCACTTCCCTTCAGACCTTGGATCTTCTGGTACAGGAGAAGAGGACGTATAAATTTCCACAATTTCCACATTTCCACACCAAACACACAC